GAGCAATTTTGCAAGTTGTCAGTTGAATTTATTTCTGTGGACACACAAAGCCTTGGGATGAGTCTGGGCAAAATTGCAGAAAAATCGGAAAAGACAAAAATGACTCATAAATTTCCAAAGTTGGTGATAAAAAAGTAGAAAAACGTCGAAGTTTGAAAAATTCCCAAAGTCAACAATCGGACAAGCAGAACCTTGCTTTGTTTTCTTTTGAGTACCGAAGACTTTCGAATCTGCACGGGAAAACTTTGAGTGCAATCGGATAGGACATTTAATGTCCGGAAATTCCCAAACTTGAAGATGAAGATCAGTAGAGACGCAAAAGTCTTCAGAAATTCCTAACTTGAGCAATACTGTTGTTGCATAGTTGTCATTAACCATCAGATCGTCAGCATTTTTAAGTGAAACTTTAGAAGAAAGAGTAACTTGGCAAAAACTGAAAAATTCTGAAATTTAAAAAAAATTTCTTCAATAAATAACCCTTAACGTCAATCTTAAAACAAGTAAAAAAGAGTTATCAACACTGCAACGGAACTGAGTCGCGCCGGTGCTTTGGGCGCACCAAACCATTTGCGTAGCACTGCGCCAACTCCTTAAAATTCACTGAGTTAGCCACGCCTACTCTGGGCGGGCTGGAGGAAAACAAATAACAGCCAAATAAATATTTATTAGCCCCATTCACATCTACAATCGAATGCCCAATCAATGTTGCTCTAAAACCCCGCTTTTTCCAATCGGTTCAGCTGATGGCACAGCTTCTCCTCCTTGGTCTTCCGCAGCTGGAACACGGCCTTGGTTTTGATGAACATGTTGAGGAATCGGTCCACATCCAGCTCGCCGTGCAGGAACTGTTCCGCAATCTTCTCGCTTTCTTCTTCTGCGGCTTTCGCCGCCTTTCCCAGCTCCTCCTAAGAGAATAATCATGTACTGTTTTCTGTTTGTTTCACAAAAACACCACGTTGTCACTAACCTGAATATTTCTGGGCGAGTACTTTTCGGACAGGTTCTGGTAAATGGAAAACAGTCGCTCATTGTCAAACGCCAGCTTTGCGACTTCTTCTATCCGCGCGTCCACCGTTTGCCTGAGCTCGCAGAGGCGCGACTCCTTCCTCAAGTTCTCCTCTGGAAAATTCGGATTAAGCGCTCCATTTTCTTTGTTATAGAGCAGGTTTCACCTGCCAGCTCCTCAATCTGGCTGGCCAAATCGTCCAGCATGCGGTTCTGGTCCTTAACACTGGGCAGTTCCTCAATGAACTCAATTTGCCTCCCGTCGCACTCGTCCAAAAAGCGCAATTCTTCCGTCGAAAGAAGATTCAACTCGGGAAACATTGTGGAACCGGGGTGAATGGGCGGCGATAAGCTGTAGCGGGACAAGCTGGGGCTGGTGCGGCTTTCTGCATCTGAGTGAGTGGTTCAATTCAGTCAAATCATTTTATTGGGGAGGGTTTTTACCTAATTTTGGCACACTGGAGGGTTTGGATGAATCGGTTGAAGCAAGAGCGGGGGGATTGCGCTGAAATTCCCTGATCACTGCCTGAACCACTCGGCCCAAGTCGGAGTGGGGAGTGAACTAAAATGTAAAATCTAACGTGAAGCCCATGTACAACAAAGTGAAAAGTAATTTTTCGACTCTACTAAACTCTGCTAAATCCCCTCTTTTATTGGACCACGAAGAACAATCCTTTACTATCCCATGCAAGCGCCAATATCAAAAACGTTTTTATGTCGATTTTTGGGCATGGTTAAAACATGATAAAATCAACAAACTTTGAAAAATTATCAAAAACTCCCTGATGATGGAGCACATTTCTTATTTCCATCATGTATAAAAACGACTTTGCTTTACAAAATTCGGTAAAGGACAAGTTTCTGTATCCGTCCGTTTAAAAGTTACTAAGTGCAGAAGGCGAACTTGCACAATCTCGCTCAAGAAAAATTCACCGCTTTTGCAAAATTCTCAAAAATCCCTGATGATTGCCAAATTTCTTGTTTCGACCACTAGTAAAGGAGACTTTGCACTACAAAATGCGGCAAGACACAAGTTTTCATGTCTGTTAGTTTAAAAGTTACTAAGTGCAGAAGGCGGACTTGCACAATCTGACTCAAGAAAAATTCAAAAAAAGCGAGAAATTGCCATAAAATCCCCCATCCGCCTTTAAACTACCACAAAGCAGTAACGAAAACCGTTCTTTCATAGAACATCAGCAATTTTCCATATAAAAATCTTAAAATACTGTGATTGACGTAATTAAGACGCGATAATGACGTCTTTTTTTAGTCATTCAAGTAATTCAGGTCATCCACCCGTGGGAAATGTCTTCAGAACTTCCAAATGAACCTTCGGTTAGCAAAATTTATCAGCCCTGATTGTTTTCGACTCAAAAAAGAGATTTGTTTCCGTAAAATTCCTCGACCAAACGGGAAACTAGCAGAAAACAGTACATGCAACCTTTCTTTCTGAGAAAATCGGCAAATTCCCGCGCTAGCTTCCAAAAAAACTGGGATTTTTACGTTTTAAGTTTTCACAGAGTGCATGGGCCTCCTTCAACCACCGTAAACAGACTAATTTTTCGAAAACGCTTAAACTAAACGCAAAACCTGCGCGCACTCAGCTTACATTCAACAGGCCAGGTGCAGCGTTCACCACCCCCTTCTCGTTCACCCAAGGGTGTTCTATCAAAGGCCTGATTTCCAGCAGGGGCTTCGCTTTGGGAAAATCGCCCCCTAAAGTGACACGGACCGTAAGCGAATGGTCCCCTGAGTTAAAGGACACGTCGAATTCGCAGCCTTCGGTAATCTCTACAACGCTAAGAGAAATCCGCTGCTAAAAGGGGGCCCCCTAGGTTAGAACCTAACCTCTACATACTTATCGTTGAAGATTTTCAAGGTGTTAATTTGGCGTTTTCGGTTGTCAATATCGGTGTTAAAGTATCTGGGTAACATTACACTAGTGTTTCACTGAAAACACTCCCAGCACTGATAAACAGGAGTCAACGTTAATCTGGTCAATAGGTTAAAAGTGCTAGGTTAGGACAGGACTTGTTTCCTAGGTTAGTTGCAATATGACCAATGATAAGACCAACTGGAAATAAAGGTTTTTACTGCTAAATAAGGTGAACATCACCATTTTTCACTAAAGAAGCCACATTATTGTAGTTGATCAGCACTTGAGATCCGCTGGCCAAATCAATTAGATCGGAGCTCTCAGCCTTTCCATCGTCAATCGCAATGCCCTCGACATCTTTTTTCGCCTTCAGGAACACCATGCTATTGAGGTTGGGCTGCACAATGCGCTCGGTCGCCGTTGACTCCTGCCAGTTGGGGCAGAAGTTCATATTGGCGGCTAAGTGGGCCTCCAGATCTGAAAAACGCGCGTAAAGGAATGGACTGCGTGAAAGGACCCGGTGGACGCACCTTGCTCGAATTCCTGCGCAAATTCCAGCTCTTTCGGGCTCAGATACAGAGCCTCATTCTCATCGGCGCGCTTTTCCTCCTCCAACAGGATCTGCTTGTGGAAGGTCTCGATCTTCTCCAGCCTTAGACGCAGATAGCTGGTCAGTAAATAGCGCAGCCTGCCAAACTAGGAGGATCAATTGGGGGTCAGCTTCGCTGGCTTAGTGGCATCACCTGTCGATCTCCATTTGGTGGATACCTTTTTTAAAGTCAGTGCTGGGAAGTTGTTGCAGCCTCTCCTCCAAGTAGGTGATCTGGCCGAGGAGGAGTTCCACAATTTCCCGCTTATGAGGCAGGATTTCGGGGGCAAACTTCTCATTCAGCCAGGCCACTTCCATCATCTCCAGTACTTGTTCCAGAGTCAAGTCATCCTACAGGAGACATTCCGGGTGAAATCTATTGGGGTTTTAAGCCTGGCAAGTGGTTGGTCAGGGTTGAAAATACATACATCATCCTCTAGTTCCAGGCTGGCCATTTCAGTTTCTCCTTCGTTGTCCACCTCCATAATTCAGTGAAATTCACGTCTTTCGGGGTTCTCTGATTTGTTTTTGATAGCTGCCATAAAAGTTTGGTTGGGTCTTTCATAAAGATGATTATTTAAGGCAGTGGCAAAGGATTGATTGAGGCAATATCTATCTTTGTCTTATATATAGTTCTAAAGCGGTATCGGTTACAACTTGCTTTTACCATCAGAAAATATCTCACCCAAGAGACCGACGAAGAGTTAGTATTTAATACAGCAACACACCTTATGCCGATGGGGTCTGATGCTTCAGAGAGGAATACTATCGCCTGAATTACCGTTCACTGAATACTTTGAAAGCCCGTGTTTACATGAACTTTCGTTCAACTCTGGAGCGGCTTTGGCCTCTTTTGCTTTTTTTCACGACACTTTTTTAAGGAGTAAGGAAAAGGTACAAAAGACAACAACAGAATTCCTGAAACTTTTTAAACTTTTCCGTTCAGACTTACATAAAACTTACATACTAGGAACTTAATCGGAAAACTTAATTGAATTGACCGACATGTCGATTTGCCCGCCGATGTAGGATCCCCGTTTCTTTTTTGTTTTTTCATGTCTAAACTGCTTGCCGCGTGTGTGCTTCAATGCGAAGTTGGCTCGTTCGCCCCACGAACCCTTCGCATTTGCCTGCAGAAAACATCACAATTACCAAACAATCCGCCTAAAAAGGGGCCCAAGTTCCACCGAACAAATCCAGATACTCACCGAATTAGACATGGGTTTGTGCAGAAACTGCCTCTACTCGTCAAACTTAATTTTCTTGTTCTCGGGCTTGGGCTGGCCCCCAAAACCGCCTCTCTGATTAAAGTCATTCGACCGGTTAAAACCGCCACGACCGCCGCCTCGATTTCCCCCGAACGATCTCCTTTCGCCCCCTTGATTGTCAAAGTCGCGACCACCACCGCCAAAGCTGTTTCGGTTGCCGCCCCGATCGCCTCCGCGCCCTCCTCTAAATCCACCCCTGCCCCTGTTATCGCCGCCGAACGAGTTGCGGTCTCTGTTGTATCCAAAGCCGCCCCTGCCGCCTCGACCCCCACGATCTCCGCCTCGACCTCCACGATCTCCGCCCCTACCTCCACGAAATCCACCTCGTCCAAACTGATTTTTTCCAGATACACAGAGAGGCGATTTTGAAGAAAATATGGAAAAAAGAAAACCTGCATTAGTACAATTGATAGGCGGACTTTGAACTTAATTGGCCTGCGGAAAACGTGCAAACTCACAATCAGTTTCTGTACAAACACGGTGATGAAAAGCTAAAGGGCGCCTATCCATTGTACCGGAAAAATTGCGAGATTGCACGTTACCTTGGCCTCAAAAGAATTGTCTTTCAGTCGGGGATCTAACTCGATCTCTTCGTCTTTTACTCGTCGGAAACTCACGTTTCGATTTTGCTGCTGAAAGAGTTCAGAGATTCAGAGACAAGTTCTCCCGTTTAAAGAGTGTAGTTGGGAAAAGATACTCACGCCGCCGCTGTTTCTGTTCTGGTTGTTGAAGTCATTTCGCGGGCTTTTCACCGGGAAATCTCCTCCATTCTCCTCAGTCTGGCTGTTATTAAACGAATCCTCGTTGCCTGATTGGGCCTGCAAACTCAACATTTGCCACCAAACCAATCAACTGACTCAGTAACTCACTTTTTTAAATGCCGGGGGCGTGGCTTTGACATCTTCCTCGCTGCTTTCCTCCTCCGAACTCTCCTCCTTTTTCCCATTGGCGGCCTTGGCTACCGCCTTCTTCGGTTGCTCGTCCTCCTCGCTGGAGTCATCAGAACTTTCTTCCTTTTTGGCTTTCTTAGGTGTCGGCTTCTGAGCAACCGGCTTCTTTGCAGGAGCTTTTTCCTCCTCCGAGCTGTCGTCCGAATCGGAGCTTTCTTGCTTTTTAGCCACGGCTACTGGCTTAGTTTTAACTGGCTTGGGAGCCTTGGCCTCTGAGCTATCAGAGTCGTCAGAGCTGCTTGCTGCTTTTTTCGCTGCCGGCGCAACTTTGGCCTTCACTGGAGCAGCCGCCGGTTTCTTCTTCTGATCAGCATCATCCTCGTCACTGGAATCAGACGATGAGTCCTGTTTAGCCGGTTTTTTAGGCGCCACCTTGGCAGGAGCAGGTTTCTTGGCTGGAGGCGCATCATTTTCTGAACTGTCTTCCGAATCGGAACTTTCCTGTTTTTTTACGACCACTGGCGGTTTCTTTGCAGGCTGTTTTGGGGCCTCGTCTTCTGAACTATCTGAGTCGTCTGAGCTACTTTGTGCCTTTTTGGCAACCGGAACTGGCTGAAGTAAAAACGAATTAGCAATTTAAACGGATGGGATTCACATCCAGTCACTGACCTTTTTGGCTAGCGGTGTGGCAACTGCAGGCTTCTTAGCTTTCTCCTCCTCTTCACTGCTGCTCTCCTCGCTTGAACTTTCCTTCTTGGCGGCCTTCACTGGAGTTATTGCAGGTTTCTTGGGCGCTTCCTCTTCACTTGAATCGGAGCTCGATTCCTTTTTAGCGGGTTTCTTCGGTGTAACCTTCGGGGCCACGGCCTTCTTTGCTGGGGCCTCTTCCTCCTCAGAACTGTCTGAGGAACTTTCCTGCTTCTTGGCCTTTTGCACGGGCTTGGCAGGCGTTTGCTTCACGGGGGGTTTTACTGCTGGCTTTGCTGCTTCATCTTCAGAACTGTCGGAATCTGAGCTGCTGGCCACTTTAGCTTTTTTCGCAGCCGGAGTTGCTTGACCCTGAGAAGACACAACGATTGAATACTTTCGCGCTACCTCCACACCTAAGCTCTTAATCCAGTTTGTTGAAACATCACTTTCGTAACGTTTGTGCAATGTCATTTGCACGTGGACGTTTAACAAACTTTTCATTTTACTTACATTTGCAGCCTTCCGTTTGGCCACAACTGGCTTTTTGGAAGGTTCCTCCTCCTCTGACGATGAATCATCGCTCTCCTCTGCCTTCGCTGGAACTTTGAGCTGTTTAGCAACTGGAGAAGCGCTGATTATGTCAATCAGTTTGATAGTTGAGTTCAATTTTTGCTAAGGGGTGAATTAAAACGGAGTTTAGTTAACAGTTCTGCGCCCAAATTCCATAGAGTAGAACTCAAGGTTCAAACGATTACCAACAGGCCAGTATCAATCTTCAATTAAAGTACGAATAAATCTGGATATTAAGCGTCCAGTCGCACTCAGATACCATTGGACTCTTAGCAACTCTTAAAACCTCGATTTCTAGTTTTAGTAGGTAAGCGATACTAAACAAAGGCAAGATAGCTTAAAAGAGCTGCATTTTCGGAAAAAACGCTGTCCCCATGTGAAACACGTGTTTTGCGGCTCTTGGGCTCCCACACGCAGACTTACCACGTTGTTTTTCTTTCGATACGTCTCAGCGATCGCCTTGTCTTCAGTTTGTAGAAACCCGAACACTAGAGAACGCACTAAATCTATATTTGAAGTCATTTTTATTGGCTTTTTGTCCTTTCTAATGTAGAAACAAGACCTACAGAAAACCGACGCACAACGGAAAGAAATGAGCGAATTAGGTTAAGATCACCGACTCTTCAATTTATTTGCAGCGCTCTTGCGGCCTGAGCGACTAAGCTTTAACTTTGGCGCCATATTCAATTTTCTGCTCTCTATTTCATATTAGAAAACTACAATAAAGTTATGATAAACAAAATCACTATTTAATAGTGGTTTGGGAGGATATTTGACATCATTGGAACCTGATTTTCAAAAGTTTATAAGAGTTTTCTGTTCAGAAATGTTGTCCGAAAAGAAATGAGCCCTCACACACTGTTGCCACTTGTCCTAACCGTACGATGACATGATGACATTGACATCACTTCGATCAAGCAAAAAACAATTTTTCCTTTTTTTCCATACTCGTCTTTATCTATGTTGGAAACTACGGATGCAGATTATTAATATGTATTAGAGTGTTGCTAAGAGAGTGTGAGTCAGTTTGCAAGCAAAAATTAGGAGATGTCGCGAAAGTTCAACAGCAGCACCACGGGAGCCACATCGCGCTTAAGACAGGATTATTTGCGCTTGAAAAGGGACCCCATTCCTTATGTGATCGCTGAGCCCCTTGGTTCGGATATCCTTGAGTGGTAATCAGCGTTTTTCTCACTGACTCGCCAATGGCTTTGTTGATTGTCAGTCCGCTCATAAATACTCTGGGCGTTTTCAGGCATTATGTGGTGACAGGACCGGAAAATACGCCCTACGAGGGCGGATTTTATCACGGAAAGTTGGTGTTTCCCAGTGACTTTCCGTTCAAACCGCCGGCGATCTACATGATCACCCCGAATGGACGCTTCAAAACCAACAGAAAGTTGTGTTTGAGTATTTCCGATTTCCACCCGGATACTTGGAACCCTGCGTGGAGTGTTTCCACTATCCTCACCGGGCTTTTGAGTTTCATGGTAACAACATCCTTTGATTTTTAACGGAAGGTTTTTTAAGTAGCGGCTTTTTTCGGTGATAGTTGGAAAAGAGTCCGACGTTGGGCAGCATCGAGACGAGTGATTACGATAAACGCCAGTTAGCCTATCAGTCGCTCGAGTACAACTTGAAGAACGCCCATTTTATCGAACTATTTCCAGAAACAGTCGAGGAAATCAAAGTAAGGCTTTTCCGCACATTCTATGATGTGCCAAATGTAAAATTTTGCAGGTTGAACTGGAGCGGAGAAGCACATGCGAAAAAGCCTCAAGCGATAGCAATACAGCAGGAATTTCCGCACCTGTTTCCAACTTCCAGTCGTGTATTACAAACCTGTGTGTTATAATTGGGTTTGCCGCATTTGCGTTTACCGTTAAGTATGTTATGAAGACCACAATATCGGAGACAGAGGATTGAAACGACTGTTTTTTTTTCCAACGCCAGTCCAGGCAATTATTTAAAAAAATTAACCTTTATTGGAACAATCACAGTAAACTGAAATGAATTCGATCTTAATTACCCAATAATGCTGGCGATATCCGACCCCACCCCATCCCACCCTAACCTTATTGACCGATTTTTTCAATTTCGTCGCAATCATCCGCATTGAGATACTGAATTTTCCTTCCAAAGTGCTCCTCGATGTCCCGCAGTATTTTCATAGAGCTGTCCGAGTCTACCAGGTTAATGGCCAGGCCTTTCTTGCCAAAACGTCCGGTTCGGCCAATTCGATGCAGGTAAGTTTCACAGTCCGCTTTTCCTTCCACATTCACGGGTAGATCGAAGTTCACCACAATGGTCACTTGCTCCACATCAATTCCTGTAACAGCATTAATGAGTGAGATTAATGGAAGTTTTAAAATCAGAGCTTGCCTCTGGATAAAACATTGGTGGTTATCAGCACTTTTTCTTTTCCTTCCCGAAAGCGGTCCAGAACATTAATTCGCTGCTCTACGGTGAGATCTCCACTTAGAATGGCAACAGCATGACCATCATTGCTCATTTTTTGCGACAACCATTCGGCCATTTTTTTCGTCTGCAAGAAAGCACATCAGATTACTGCTTGAAGCGAGCACTTATCTGAAGATGGCAATCCTGCCAGCGAAACGTTAGAGCTGCTACTTACCCGACAGAAAATAATAGCTTGTCCTATACTTAAAGTACCGTAAATATTGGTGAGGGCATTGTACTTTTCATCTGCAGTCGAGCATTTGAAATAGTACTGGCCGATATTGTCGAGACTTTCTTCTTCGCGTCGCAGACGAATTACTATGGGATTCTTTACGATATGTTCGGCAAAGTCCATCACTTCTTGAGAATAGGTGGCTGAAAAGAACAGCATTTGACACGAAGCGCTCAAATCTCTGCAGCAGAAAAATTAAAGTGAAGTTCAATTTCTGCGTGAAAAAATCGTTGCCTACTTGTGAATTCGGATGCATTGATCTTGATGCCCCTGCTGATCGATCATCACGTCCGCTTCGTCGAGCACAAACACGGTGATTTTCTTGAGATCTAAATGCTTCTGTTTGGTCCAGTCGAGCACCTTTCCAGGCGTGCCGATCACTATATGCTCAGCGATTTTTGTGCCTCTGGGAACTGAAATTGCACGTTTTCAGCTGAGAACGGGTGAATGTGCGGCTGACTTACGCATCTCCCCTCGCACAGCAAATCGCATTTCGATTTCCGGACAGAACTTTGCCATATTGGCCGCGACTTCACCGGTCTGGATCGCCAGCTCGTAGGTAGGTGAGAGACACAAAACCTTAAAACGATCACAGACACTTTGCAGGCTTTCGAACAAGTGCTTGATTTTTTACCTGCGGATAATGTTTATCGGGGACCACTCGGCTGAGCATCGCCAGGACGAAAGCAGCTGTTTTTCCAGTTCCTGACTGGGCCTGGGCGATTAAATTCTGGCACGGATCAGCTAGTAAAGTGGGAAGCGCCATTTCTTGAATCTTCGACGGCGCATTGAACCCCATCTCATAAACGCCCTTCAGCAGATTGGGTTTGCTGAAACATACTATCTGCAGGAAACTGAATGGGGGCCAATCAGCCACACTTACAGGTTAAGGGCTTCGAACGTTTTCACCGAGTAAAGAGGCGACTTGGGATCCTGCCTTTGCACCTCAATGTCGTTCTTGTTAGCCACCAGCCCTTTCCGGATGATTTTCGCCAATAAACTGGCCTCGGCCTGGTTTTCTGGCGCTTCATCATCGGAATCGTCTGCTTTGTCTTTCACGTTCGGCAACTAAAAGACAATTTCGGATAAAACGGTGGCAGAAACTCGATGTCAACAATAGCGAGGCGGAGCCCTGTCTTTAAGGGCTTTCGATTAACTGCCACGATTTTGAGGTTAAGTTACAATGAAAACCTACTCACGTTGGCTTCGGTTTGAGCCACAAAGTTGGCCCAGTCCACTTTCTGAGACATTTTCAGAGTAAATAAGGTGTTAGAGGCCGAAAATGCTTGTCTTTATCTATGCCGAAAGTCGCAGAACACCGCTAAAAATGATTTGTTTTGATTCTCAACACAGATCACAGTCTCATAGATATAGATAAAGACTAGATAGCCATAGATAAATAGACTGCAGTCTTAAGCAGTAGTTTGGTAATCTGTGGCGTGGCGCATATCTACAAAGTCGAACCAAGACTGTGGCTCTGATCAGCGCCCCCTAACGGTGTCTCTTCCATTCTCCAATTCTCTATCCAACGATGCCAAAACGAATTCTGTGGCTCGAATGGTTCTTGAGAAACTTCGAATAAAGGCCATTTAGTTATCTCTGGAATG